ACTAAGGAGAGAGAATGGTTAATGGTTAATGGTTAAAAGCAAGATAAATGTGCTAGACATCTAAGGTCATGTAGCACTATAGTTAATGTTAGTGAAGGGTGGTTGAGTTAGTGATTAGTTGTCTAAGCTGGGCAAAGGAATTAGTGAGTGAAAGGGTTAAGGTCGGGTGTTATATTAGATAAAGGATATGCATAAGAAAGGTTTCTTGAAGGCATACAATAGATGGGTTATAAGAGGAAAGGATATGATGGTCAGGTCTGTGGGAGCGGAAACCGCGAATATTCCAATGAAGGATAGTTATACTTTCGTTGATTTAGTGATATAGATTGTAGTACGTGTTGGAGAATTTGAAGGGGAAGCAGCTGTAGCCGCTGTTATCAACAGCGGCAAGGCATAGCTGCTTGCATCAGCATCACGTGTATAACATCTGTAGCCACTGCCATCAGCGCCGACATGGCGTAGCTGCTGACGCCAGCATCACGCACATATCACTTCTAGGACTTGGGTGACGGTTTCCTCATGGGTTCCATGTGTTCGTACGTCCTGAATTAAGCCTTGTCCCTAGTGTTGACGTATATATGAAAGGAAGAGTGTCTCGCGAAAGGGGGGCCATCACAAGTTTATAGAACAGTTCGAGAGTGAATATTGGCTCGACAACACGTACATAAGGATCGATCTGAGGGCTTCTGTTAAAGGCCTTGACTGTTCCCGCTATGCGTATGTATCATACATATTCGTGTATAGTTATAGATTAATGTCCGTATATGTTGTTGCTTACCTTGAGCAGTAGGATTTAATGGCATTCTTGGTGAACCGTAAAATGTATTCTTTCTATAGTTATAATATGAGTACTGACATAATCTTGTTAGTGAATCTAAGTCTAATTGTAACAGCAGCTATGATTATTACTGTATTATCATTGTATTGATTTATGACTGGTATTGTATTGAATATGTATTGATTACAGGTTTGACCGCATTCCAATAAAACGTGAAGCGAGTGCGACGCAGTGGTATCAGTTCCCTTGAGTTAACACAAACAATCTAAGCGCGTGAATTGGCGCTTACAGTCAAACGCAAAGGGAAATAGTAGCTGTTGTTAAAGAAAAGGGCAACGTGAATCATCACCAGCGCGACGGGAGCGACGCGTCTAGGGAAGACCGACGTAGCCGTGGACAGAAGAGACAGACGGAAGAACGAGTGACAGTGAAAGTCTACGGATGTGATACACCGTGTTTTAGCTAGTAAAGTGAAGGTTTTTAGTGGTAAATGTCGACATCTGATCACGAGTCTGTGTAAGAAATAAGGGAAAGTGTGCGCGGCTAACATAAGCGATAATATTGCTTCGTGGTGACCCATTTGAGAATGTCTCGAGACGGAACGCCCGTCGCGGGGAGTCCCCGCTCAGAAACTGAGAAATTGGGGGATGAAATGAGTGCCGCACTTCCGGCCGAGCTGGTTGATGCTTGTGAGCCAGGAGATTTGGAAACATCTGAAAATGCCATTTCACCAGTAGGTGAGGATGTTCCCCGTTGTGAACAGCGAGCTGCAGGGGACTCAAACGGATCAAATGAACCACCAGGTAACCAGCCACCCATTCAAGGTATGTACTCTGGAGTGAGCGATGACCTCAGTCAATTGATAACAAGGGTCGTGGATGAATATATGAAATCTCGAGGTGTCTCTGGGCGAGGCAATTGGTCTGAAGTGATTGGGCACAGCTCCACTATGAGGGTAGTGAGAAAGAGAAAGATGGGAGCCAACCACGGAAAGAGGAAGCATAAGGGACCGCATAACCGCACGGAGGTCCGGGGAGAATGCAAAAGGGCTCGTTCGGCACACAAGAAGGGTGATGGGTCCTCACGTGATGAGGAAAATAACGGGTCCTCACGTGGTGAGGAAAATAACGGGTCCTCACGTGGTGAGGAAAATAACGGGTCCTCACGTGGTGAGGAAAATAACGGGTCCTCACGTGGTGAGGAAAATAACGGGTCCTCACGTGATGAGGAAAATAACGGGTCCTCTCGTGGTGAGGAAAATTACGGGTCCTCACGTGGTGAGGAAAATAACGGGTCCTCACGTGGTGAGGAAAATAACGGGTCCTCACGTGGTGAGGAAAATAACGGGTCCTCACGTGGTGAGGAAAATTACGGGTCCTCACGTGGTGAGGAAAGTTACGGGTCCTCACGTGGTGAGGAAAATGACGGGTCCTCATGTGACGAGGAAAATGACGGGTCCTCACGTGGTGAGGAAAATGACGGGTCCTCATGTGACGAGGAAAATGACGGGTCCTCATGTGACGAGGAAAATGACGGGTCCTCATGTGACGAGGAAAATGACGGGTCCTCATGTGACGAGGAAAATGACGGGTCCTCATGTGACGAGGAAAATGACGGGTCCTCATGTGACGAGGAGAATGACGGGTCCTCATGTTATGAGGAAAATGACGGGTCCTCATGTGGTGGGGAAAATAATGGGTCCTCACATGGTGAGAAAATAATCAATGGGCGCACAACCAAGCGTAAAATGAAGGATGACGCTTACGATGGGTACTCAAGTGATGAAGAAAAGGACATTAATAAGAAAATTAATGCTACAAACATAAGGAAACGGAGTAATTCCCTGGTCAAGGCGGGCCGTGGAGGTCCAAAAAGGCATTGTGGTACGGATAAGGGCGTGAGGAAAGTGAAAAGGGCCAGTTATGTTATGGGCAGTAAATTAAAACAGGGACGAGTAGAACGAAGAGCAAACATCTTGAAGAAGAGGAAAGGAGGGCGGAGCCATGACGGTACAGTGCGAGACTCAACTGCGAGTGAGAAGAAAAGGCGGATAAACCACAAAGCATACCGGGAGGGAAGCAATAGAGCACTGATTGAAACCGTGCGACTTATGCAAGCCAAGCTCCCAACGCTTAAGTTTGGCAGTATTGAGAATTATTGGGCATTCAGGAGACAGTTTCAAGAATTTTTTCTTGACACATCAGCGCCCGCCATGCACAAATTAAACCAGTTATACACTAGTTGCGACTGGGAGATCCAAAAGCTGATATCTCATTGCATGGCACTACCAGCAGAAAAGGGTCTGAAAGTAGCATTGAAAATACTAGACAAGCGATTTGGTGATGAAAAGACGTACATGAATCAATCACGGGAGAAGCTAATTAGAGGACCCAAAATAAGAGAGAATGATTACCGGGCACTCTCCACAATGTGTGCTCAACTGACGTCATTCATTTCATTTGCGGAAAACTTGGACAAACTGACTGAGATTGACAATCAACCAACAATCAGAGACATTGTATTGAGGTTGGATGATGCCATGCAAAAACGTTGGAATGCATATTGGACAGGAAAAAGGGGCGAGCATATTCAGCACATAAAGGATGTCCTGAAGTTTCTGGAAAGAGAGACCAAGAGAGTTGAAAATGAACTTGTCCTTAAGGAAAGTTACAACTTTGAGACCCAAAGACTGTACATGGGAACACAAGAGACTCGAAGGGAAGCTACATCCACTTCTGGAGTGAAGCGCGATCATAAGTACCCAAACAAACCATACTCTCGTGAAGTGTCTCTTATCACACAAGGTGAGCCATCCACAAGTTTTGGTGGGAGCAGAAGTGTGGCTGACAAATGTCGTTTATGTGGGGAGAATCATACACTTCCTTGGTGTGACGTGTTCAAACTATTGCCTGTGGAACATCGCAGAAAGATTGTAAGGGTACAGGGAAAATGCTTTATTTGTCTGAAGGAGAGCCATATGGCTAAAGATTGCAGAGTGCAGCCTTGTGGGGTGGGCAACTGTAATGGACGTCACTCTAGGTGGCTCCATGAAGCTTCAACAGACAGCCGGGTTCGTGGAGAGCCTGAAACCCTTGGACGGTATAGAAGAACTGGGGTCTCAAAGGTGGAACAGAACAATGATTGACTATCACAAAAAATCTGGGTGACCCATACCACAGGCAGAGAGAAAGGGATAGCACTGCCTATAGTACCGGTTGTTTTGACATCTGAGGACACCTGTAAAGGGGCAAGAATTACAACTTGTGCTTTACTGGATTCAGGCAGTACCCGCTCATTCTGTTCGAGGAAAGTTGTAGAGCGACTAAGACTAAAGGAAAAGAAGCAAGCCACAATAATTACCACCCTTTTAGATAAAGGTCAGCAAGAGTCAACATGTGTTGAGCTAATGGTCACAGGTTTATATGGAAAGAAGACAACTCCCTTAAGGCTAGCGGAAGTCATTGTCATGGATTCCCTGCCTGAAAGTCTAATGGGGACCAAAGCAGACCCAGACAAGGCAGCAAAATGGATGCATTTGAAAGACTTGGCACATATACACAGACAGATGAAATATGTATCAGTAGAGTTGCTGATTGGACAGGACGCTCCCCAAGCACTGACACCTATCGAAGTCCGGAAGGGACAAAATGGGGAGCCATTTGCGATCAGGACGATGTTAGGATGGTCTATAAACGGTCCACTAGACATGACAAAAGGAGAGGCTATAAGTTTTGGTGTTTATGTGGAAGAAGTGCCAAAGAATGAACCGCAATGCCCTTTGTTGGAGAAGGCAATGAAGCGGTTCTGGGAAATTGATGAGGGCGAAGACCCAGATAAAAGAGGATTGTCAGTGGAAGATGAACAGGTTATAACTATGTGGGAAAGAGAAGGAAACAGAGTTGGAAACCATCACCAATTTCCGATACCCTTCAGGGAAAGGGACCTTTCCATGCCAGACAACTTATCAATGGTTCTCAGAAGATTAACAGGATTGAAGGCCAGGTTGATCCGTGATAAAGACCTAATGAGGCGTTATGTCAAAGAGATGGAGGAATTGGTAAGAAAGGGATATGCTGAAAGGGTCTTAGAGAAGGAAGCTCATCCTGGAAAAACATAGTATCTCCCGCATCATCCAGTGTTTAACCCAAATAAGCCTGAGAAGACACGTATTGTATTTGATTGTGCTGCAAAATTCTATGGGGTCACTCTAAATAATCAAATCATGCAGGGACCTGATATGGTAAACGAGCTTATAGGAATCCTCATTCGGTTCAGGGAAGGGAGGGTAGCACTGTCTGCAGATATTGAAGCCATGTTCCATCAAGTTTTGGTTGATCCAAAGGATCGTGATGTCTTAAGATTTCTTTGGTGGCCACAGGGTGACTTTGCAAGACCACCAATACCATACCGGATGACCAGACATCTTTTCGGCGGAGTTTGGAGCCCCGCATGTGCTGCCTTTGCACTTCTTAAAACCTTGGAGAAGGGCGGGACAAGGTCCAATAATGCCAAACGGTGTTTTTATGTTGATGACCTTCTGTTATCTACTGAATCAGAGGATGAGGCCAAACTGTATGTTCAGGAATTACAAGAAACCTTGAGGAATGGAGGTTTTCATTTAACAAAATGGATGTCCAACTCTAAGAAAGTAGTGACTGGAGTACCAAAGCAAGAAAGAAGTCCCGGTGTTAAGAATATCGATCTGATGAGAGACGAATTACCCATGGACAGAGCATTAGGGGTGCTATGGAACCTAGAAGATGACAATTTGAAAATATCAGTGACCCCTCCAGACAAGCCTCTAACCAAAAGAGGCATCCTGAGCACCATGAGTTCTGTATTTGATCCATTGGGATTCATATCTCCCTTTACTGTTAGGGCTAAGATGATTTTTCAAGACGAAGTACGCAGGAAAGAAGGATGGGATGAACAACTATCAGAGGAAAATGTTAAAAGATGGACCTTGTGGCTGAAGGAACTTGAAGATATGAAGGAGTTCTACATGAACCGTTGCCTACTTCCTCTTCGATTTGGACGGCTCATAAATGTACAGCTCCACCACTTCTGTGATGCTTCTACTAAAGCTTATGCAGTAGTGACTTACGTGAGGCTGCAAGATGACAGAGGACTCACACAGTGCAGTTTTGTCATGTCACGCACCAGACTAGCTCCCATTAAAGCTACCTCCATACCCCGATTAGAATTGTGTGCTGCAGTTCTGGCAGCTGGTTCTGATGCCAAGATACGAAAGGAAATCTCTATGGAGATCAGGAGTTCTGTTTTTTGGACAGATAGCATGATTGTTTTGCAATACATCAGGAACACGTCGAGACGTTTCCATACCTTTGTGGCCAACAGGGTGGGAATCATCCAAAGAATATCATCACCGCAGCAGTGGCGTCATGTGAACTCTGAGGACAACCCAGCTGATGATGCCAGCAGAGGATTGTCTGCTCAAAAATTGTTAATGAGTGGAAGGTGGAAAAATGGACCCAGCTTTTTAGACCTACCTGAGGACTCCTGGCCACCTGTGCCATGTGACAATGATGACCTAGGTGAAGATCCAGAAGTAAAGAGGGAGAGCACAGTCATGATGCTAAAGGGGAAAGAACCCAACGGAGTTGATAAACTCCTAGAGCGGTACTCATCTTGGTACGCTCTACAAAGAGCAGTAGCCTGGCTTCGTCGGCTCTCGGCATGGGTAATGGAAGGTTGCCCTAGACTGGAAACATCTCAACTTAAAGTAACGGAACTACAGTCAGCACGAACAGCCATCATTAAGTATGTACAAAGGCTTTGTTTTTGGGATGATATTGAGACACTTCACAATGGAAAACTTACCAAGAAAAGCAAACTCTACCGGCTAGAGCCAACGCTTGATGACGAAGGTGTAATCCGAGTTGGAGGTCGCCGTCTGAATGAATATAATGATTGTAGTGAGAGGCCCATCCTCCTTCCTAAAGACCACCCCATAACGACCTTAATTGCCCAGGATGTACACGTATTTGTAGCAAGACACTCAGGAAGGGAACATACCTTGGCCAGCTTAAGGAGACATTATTGGATAGTGGCAGGTCGACCCTTAATTGATCGCATCCTGAGGAACTGCTTCACCTGTCGCCGGGTTAATAGTAAACCTCTCACACAGCGACAGGGTGAATTGCCTTTGGAGAGAATCTCAGCTGATAGTCCACCTTTCACCCACACTGGAGTAGACTGCTTTGGGCCTTTTAACGTGACATATATGAGAAGAACTGTGAAGCGTTTTGGATGCGTCTTTACCTGCCTCAGCTCCAGGGCTGTACACCTTGAATTACTGCACTCCCTTGATACAGACGATTTCCTCAATGCTCTCATGCGATTCATGGCGAGGCGGGGCACTCCCAAAAAGATCTTCTCTGACAGAGGATCCAACTTTCAGAGAGCCAACAAGGACATCCAAGCAAAGACACGCAGCTGGATTACAGATAATAAGATTGGCAATGCGTTACACAGGAGAGACATCGAGTGGGTTTTCCATCCGCCCATGGCTTCCCACATGGGTGGTGTATGGGAGCGGCAAATTCGGTCTATAAGGAAAATCTTAGCCTCTATTATTGGTATGCAAAAGGTTGATGATAGCAGGTTACACACATTGTTCTGTGAAGTCGAAGCCACACTCAACAGTCGTCCACTCACTGCTGCACCGGGTGACGCATCTGAGCCTGCAGCTCTTACACCAGATCATATACTTCGACTAGGAAAGGACTTCTGTTTACCTATGGGTGATGTTTCCCAGGGTGAGATTCTTCGTAGACGCTGGATTCATGCACAGGCGTTGGCAGATAGATTCTGGAAGCGTTGGAGAACAGAGTATCTCCACTCCCTTCGGATGCGACAGCGTAAGATTGAGCCCTCCCGCAACCTGTGCATTGGTGATGTAGTCCTCATTACTGACCCCAACCTACCAAGGAATCGGTGGCGTCTGGGAAGAGTCATCCAGGTATTCCCAGGCTCTGATGGCTTAGTCAGGAAGGTTCGCCTACATACTAGCTCTGGAAATCTAACCCGGCCGATCGTGAAGCTATGCCTTTTGGAAATGGATATCGATTCTGCTCGAGATTTATGTAGATCTACTACTTAGCAACATGCTGTCCTCGGTGGTTTGTTTGTGACATCCTGTGCACAATCAACGGGGGGAGTGTAGCCGCTGTTATCAACAGCGGCAAGGCATAGCTGCTTGCATCAGCATCACGTGTATAACATCTGTAGCCACTGCCATCAGCGCCGACATGGCGTAGCTGCTGACGCCAGCATCACGCACATATCACTTCTAGGACTTGGGTGACGGTTTCCTCATGGGTTCCATGTGTTCGTACGTCCTGAATTAAGCCTTGTCCCTAGTGTTGACGTATATATGAAAGGAAGAGTGTCTCGCGAAAGGGGGGCCATCACAAGTTTATAGAACAGTTCGAGAGTGAATATTGGCTCGACAACACGTACATAAGGATCGATCTGAGGGCTTCTGTTAAAGGCCTTGACTGTTCCCGCTATGCGTATGTATCATACATATTCGTGTATAGTTATAGATTAATGTCCGTATATGTTGTTGCTTACCTTGAGCAGTAGGATTTAATGGCATTCTTGGTGAACCGTAAAATGTATTCTTTCTATAGTTATAATATGAGTACTGACATAATCTTGTTAGTGAATCTAAGTCTAATTGTAACAGCAGCTATGATTATTACTGTATTATCATTGTATTGATTTATGACTGGTATTGTATTGAATATGTATTGATTACAGGTTTGACCGCATTCCAATAAAACGTGAAGCGAGTGCGACGCAGTGGTATCAGTTCCCTTGAGTTAACACAAACAATCTAAGCGCGTGAATTGGCGCTTACAGCAGCTAGAGGGTGGGATAAGGACTGAGAGGTTTGAGATGGGAGAGGTGTGGGAGTTGGTGTTCTATCAGGAGGGGTATTAGGAGATGGAGGGTCTGAGGAAGGGGATACTTGTGACATAAGGGATTCACGTGTGTATCCAGGAGGGAGTGGAAGGGATAGAGGGGATGGTGGGAGAGTTAATTTGGGCAGGGTTGGGGTCAGGGGGGATGGGCTGTGTTGGGAGGGGGTAGGAGGGTAGGGTGTAGGGGGGATATCGTTAGGAGGAGGATGGATATCAGCAATTACTTGGAGTGTGGAAGGAGCAGGAGTTGTAGGTTGAGTGTCAGTTTTCATTAAGTAATCTTGAATATTTTCAATAGTTTCTTCTGTGGAGTTGGTTGGGGAGTTTTGGGGGATAAAGGATTTCTTGTGAGGGGGGGAAGAGAGGACTGGTGTCTCAAGAGTACGGGCAAAGGATGGTGGGGGTGATTGTGTGGTAGGGGAAGAGGGGGTGGAACGTTTGTTCTGTCTGTTACGGGGAGTGCGAGTAGGGAGAGGGGAAGGTGTTGGGGTTGTAGTGGTGATTGGAGTATCTGTAGTAGAGATTGGAGTTTCTGGATTTAGGATGGCAAAAGAGTTTGACTGGGGAAGGTAGGTGGGGTTAGTGGGGGGGTTAGATGTAGGAGGGGTGGGTTTAGGAGAAGTGTTAGAATGAGCAGTATTACTGGAGTAAGGAGTAAGAGAGAATCCACGTCGACGTGCTTCCTGTCTGGCTTCACGCAGTGTGAGTCCGAGTTTGAATCTGAGAGTTGCTACCTCAGATTCAAATTTGTAGGTGGGACAGCCCCTATAAAATACATTATGGGGGCCGCCACAGTTGGCACATGTGCGTGATTGTGCAGAGCAGTTAGATCGGGTATGGCCAGGTTGGGCACATAATGGGCATCTGGCAGTGTTTGGCTGGGTGTCCTAGACGCCAACAATTTTGGCACTGACGTGGAGGAGGTTGGTATGGATGAACAGGGAGGGATTCTCCTCCTATGTAGACGTTAAAGGGAAGGTCAGGTCTACGGAAGGTAATTTTGGCTATGTTAGTGGGTTTCTTTCGATGACCTCTGGGGGGGATGGAATAGCATTGTACTGATGTTGCATCGTAGTCTGTGAGACAGGCAAGTAGATCTTCTCCACAATCTGACCAATCTTTGTCATAGATTGGGCAATTTATTGGTGAGATTGAGACTGTTCCGGTGCAAGTATTGAGGGTTGGATGGGGTTCTGCTAGGATGGGGTTACCATATAGGTCAGTTAGTTTTGTTAATGCTATGGCTTGGTTTTCGGATGTTACTGTTACAAGACGGGAGCGGTCGGGTCGGCTACGGAAAGAGACTTTACCTACTTGTTTTTGGAGGCATTGTTGGAAGAGAAGGGTGTTGTCAGAGTAGGGAGCTGTGGGAGGGATCACGAAAAATCGGTCCCATTTGGCTGCACTGAAGAGAGTATTCAAGATTGTTTTAGAGATAGGGGTGGTAGAAGGGCGAGGGCGTGACGAAGATGGAGTAGTGTTGATGGAGGTAGTGTTATGGAGAGGTGGGCTATAAGTCTGTAAGGTATTAATAAGGGAGGATGGGGTGGTTGATGTTGGAGGTTGTGGGGGTAGAGGTGTTGAAGTTGGGCATGCTGGGAGAGTGGAAATGTTCCTTGAGGGTTGATTGTTGGCTACTGTACTAGTAGGCATTGGTGAAGGGGCAGTTATTGCAGTGTTCGGAGTCATGGTCAAAGGAGAGCCTGGGGTCGGGGAATCGGGTGGGTTTACTTCTTTGGGGCTATTTGATAAAGGAGCAAGCCTCATTGCCCCTAACAGTGGGGATATATTTTCATTACTGGCCATGGTAAACCTGGTTATGTTGGGGATAAAAACAGTCCACCCCTCAGGGTCCCCTTGAGGGGTAAGGGCTAGATACTAAATCAGGGGAATACCGTGCCCATGGCTCCCTCAGGCCGTTCAGGACTGGCACAAAGTCAGCCTTTCATCCTTTCAGCACGGCTCTCACACCTTAGGAGGTGGATAGCAGAAGGGTTTGGTGAAGGGACAGAAACAAAAGTGGGAAGGGAAAAAAAGACCATGCATAATTAGTTGAGTCGAGGGCTGAGTCCCAAGGTTGGGGAGTTCCCCATCATTGGGTCCCAGTCTCCGCCTCCTAAGCCCCCCGACAACAACAACGGGCAAGGGATTGGGGGGTTAAGGAGAGAGAAGATTGTGAGATTCAAGATACCGCATTGAGCAGAAGTTAACCATTCACTCAAGTAGTTGCATAAGCAGCTAGTTAGAGCAATTGAGCGGTAATCTTGAGGGAGGGTACTCGATTTATTGGGTTTCAGGAAATTTTTCTGATGTCTATATGTGGTTGAAAATATTTAATAGGAAGGATAGAGAGGAAGATGGAAGGTGTAGAAGCATATGGCATTGAATACCGTCTTGGAGAGGATCAGTGATGTCCTGCGATGTACTGTTCCAGATCGTGCAATGAAGACAGGCGGATGCTCTTTTAAAGGAGATAAGGGCTGATAGTTGATTAGGGGTGTCTCGTTTGTAGCAGTAACTGTTCCAGGCTACGCATTTAAAGCAAAGCTCTTTGGTGCAATGGAAATTCCACCCTGGAACACATTTGGGGGTATAAGGTCTTGAGGTTTGAGGAATGGCTGTATGGGCAGCTCTTAGGACTGTATCATATCAGAAATGGATGAGAAAGGGATGGAGGGGTAGGAATAGTAGAGAGTGAAGTGAAAGTACGCCAATTGGCTCTATCAAAGCACCAGTGTGGGGGGTTAGGAAGTAGTAAATATGAAGTAAGAGAAAGAACTGACCAGTGAAAATCTAAATGGAGAGAAGGGGAGCATAGAGAGTGGTCAGTGCACGAAAAAGATTGTGTGTATATGTCAAAGTGTATGGGCGATCTGAATTGAGAATAATAAGGTCAGATGTGGAGAGAAAGTGTTTTAGGAATTGGCCACAGGAGATAGTGAGAGAATCACCACGGTGTGGCGGCAGTTAAAATCACAATCTACAAGGAAAGGTGGCTGGAGTTGGGAAATTAGAATTTCAAAGGGAACAGGGTGGGAAGGGGAGAAGTAGACTGAAATAACTGTACTCCAACGGCTAAGAAAGAATAACTGTGTACAGGACAGTGGTTTGAAAGGGAGGTAAGACAAGATGTTTTCTGATGGATAAGTATAGACGAAACATAAAGGAAGTGTGAAGAAGAGACAAAATGGTAGTTAGGAATTGGTATAGGAGGATGTGTAAAAAGAAAAAAAAGTCTCTTGAAGGCAGATAATAGTTACAGTGCGTGTAGGAGAATTTGAAGGGAAAGGAGCTAGGGGGCAAGATAAGGAATGAGAGGGGGAGTTGGTGTTGTATCTGGAGGAGTATCAGGAGGTGGAGGATCTGGGGAAAGGCACATTTGTGACATAAGGGATTCACGTGTATATCCAAGAGATACAAGATGGAGGGAGGGTTAACCCTTTGCCAACGGGCATGCCATGCCATGCCCACTGAGAGTTTACTTGTTTGATTGTTTTTACACATAGATGGCTACACTTGTACTAAACCACCAATGAGCCAATTACAAGTACTGCCTGTCTCGCCTGTTCACCCTTCTCTTTAATTTTCGAAAATATTTTGTTATCTTATTTTGCTGTTACTAATGTTTATAACATTATAGTAATTATAATGTTTATAATAAAAATAATACCGTCGATATTCATAGCACTAGTAAAAAGTACATTTTCCCACCAATTCAAGGAAAGGTGAAATCAGATAAGGCAGAGCCATCTATGTGTAGTGACATTTCACAAACAAAAAAAAAAAAAAAAAAAAAAAAAAAAAAAAAAAAAAAAAAAAAAAAAAAAAAAAAAAAAAAAAAAAAAAAAAAGAGCACAGCATTTTCCCCATTTTTTTATTCATTTTCCTCATCGGCAGTGGGTTAATGTAGGTGGAGCTGGAGCTGGGGGGATGGGCTATGTTGGGAGGGAGTACAAGAAGAGGGGAAGGTGTTGGGACTGCAGTAGAGATTGGAGTGTTTAGGTTTAGAATGGCAAAAGGATTTGACTTAGGAAGGTAGGAGGTAGAAGTGGGGAAGTAAGATATAGGAGGGACAGGTATAGGGGAGGGTGTAGGAACATCTTAGGAGGGAGGAGGAGGGGCAGAGCAAGTGACATTACTGGAGTAGGGAGTAAGAGGAAAACCTTGTCAACATGCTTTCTGTCTGGCTTCATGCAGAGTGAGACCAAGTCTAAATCTGAGAGTTGCCACCTTAGACTCAAACTTGTAGGCCATGGTAAGCCCAGAGTATGTTGGGGAGAGAACAGTCCAACTCTCATGGTCCCCTTGAGAGATAAGGGCTAGTCAAATGAAATGGGAATACCATGCCTATGGCTCCTTCAGGCTGTTCAGGACTGGCACAAAGTCAGCTTTTCATCCTTTCAGCATGACTCTCCCACCTTAGGAAGTGGACAGTAGAAGGGGTTGGAGAAGGGATAGAAAAATCAGGAGGGAGAAAAGACCATGCAAAAATGGTTGCATTGAGGGCTGAGGCCCAAGTCAGGGGAGGTCCCCAACATTGGGTCCCAGTCCTCACCTCCTAAGCCCCCAAAACAACAACAACAAGCAAGGGATTGGAAGGAGAGATATTACATTAGCAATTTCAACAAATGAAATGAAACAAAATTGATTGATATCTGTATTTTACTTTTCCTTTGAAAAATATGTTTTTTTTTTCACATTATTTTCTGAAACTAATTCAACAATTGATTAACTCCCTCAAGATCTTTATCTCACGTCTTGAGATAATGAGATAAAATCAACAATTTAAAGTCCATCTTCCAGCACAAGAGTATTTCCACACTTAAATGGAGATATGTTGTCCATAAGTCAATATTTAATTTCATTTCCAAAATTATCATGCAACAAGTGCCATCGTCAGTATATTTCCAAATTCCTGTAATCATTAGTAAATACAGATACAATTTATTTATAAAAATAGGTCAATATCTTCAAACAAAACATGAAACAAACTTCACATTTAATTTATCAGAATATACATACACTACTAAAAAATTTTACTGAAAGGTATACAGTTCTCATAAAACCATAAATTACTCACTCAATCAAGGATCAGACCTAATATACAACATAAAAATTCCTCAGTCTAAACTTTGTCATTTACTATAACACAGACGTTGTCATACTAAAAATGTGGCTAAGTCGTATATCATATATATACAGTATATATATATATATATAATATGTATATATGTATCTAGATATTTATCAAGAAAATATCAATACTGATGCTACTGAAATATACAATACTGAATAATGATTCTATGATAATGATGATGATAATTATAATAATAATAATAATAATAATAATAATAATAATAATAATAATAAAGTAACAAATTACAATAATAATAAGACTAATAGCAATGATCCTTAATAATCATCATAATAATCAATACAGTTTATAATCATATTTTTTTTTTATAAACATGTAATGAACAACACTATTGTCCTGCATGTTATTTGTGACATTGAGCTTATATTAGGCTAACAATTGACCCAAATACTGGACAAGAGCAACAGTCATTAGTCATAATGATGATGATGATAATAGTGATATTAATAATAATAATAATAATAACAAAAATAATAATGAAATTAGTAATAATAATTTACTATAAAAATGATATGATAATGAAAATTGTTTTACTAATACATATGATTTTTATGTATCTATTTATTAACAGCTAATAAGACCAGTATACCAAATCAAAACCTCATAACTAATCAGATGAAATTGTAGAAAAAAAAATCATTATCAAATAACTTAAATAAAATGCACAACCTATATCTATATACATATATAGAATGAGATTATATAATACTCATTGTAACTGACGCTTTTCTTTTATTTTTTTGTAATGACAATAACTGTTTGTAAAAAAAAAAAAGAGCTGATGTTCAAATTGAGTACTAATGCTTTTAGGCCTTTATAAAAAAAAAAATCTTAGAAAGGAAATAAAAAAAGGTATCAAATGCACTCTTCTCTCTAAAGGTTTTGGATAAAAGACCAATTAATCCCAATGCAGATATTTTCTATCACAAACTTCATATAAAACATTAAATAAATATCTACACCTCAACAAAGGACTTAAAAGCAGATCCTGGTTGTTCTTTCACTGAGTTCTACAATGTTATTTTCAAAGTAAAGTAAAATATAAAAAAGAAAATCTTTATTTTCTTTTTTGCCTTTGGATCTTCATGGATTTCCATCTTGGATTAGTTTCATCAGATCCTTTTAATCATAAATTTTAATACTGTATCTGCCTTGTAGTCTGTAAATGCTCTGAAGTCATTTCTTTTAATCCAACCTTTAATCCAGTTAAAGGTTTTCAAAATACATGAGTTAAAACAGGACCATACACTTAATTTTTTTGCAAAAAGAGATATCAAGAGAATGGGTAAAGCGACAAGACTAACTGTAATGTGAACTTTAGTCATTGAAGCTCTGTTGTTACAGTTTTATACAACTTCCACGGTTGTAAATAAACAGTGTATTCCTTTGAGGAAAAACATCTATTTGGAAGAAACCTTTGGAACATGATATATCTCATCTCTATAGGTTAAATCACAATAAAACCATAGTAGTTCTTTACAGAAAAAAATAATCTCTGTAATTCCTTACAGAAAACAACCATTCTCTAGACTTTACAGAAAACGACCATCCTCTGTAGATCTTTACAGAAAACCAAAATAAACCAAGTAATTCTCCAGGTTTTGTTATAGTTTCAAAATATTTAAGTCACACACATATGTGCTAAAGAATTGTGAGAGCATAAATAAAGCTACTTAATCTCATGGATATTTAACCAAGTAAAAAAAAAAATCTATCCATTAAAAATTATTTACAACATCCTCATCCTCTGAGAATGAATTTCTTTAGTCAATTTAAAATCTACCTAATGAGCAGTCATATCACATAAGAAAATTATGGCTGGCCCTCACCTCTGAGGAGATGGCATATAATCTCTTATTCTACTAATGCCACTGTAACTGTCATTTTGGTGCTCTAATCTATCAATCATGAAAGCAAATTTCACTTATTACTTGCAAATGATTCCTTTCACTTTTATGATATTTCTACTTCAATTTTCTTATAAAGAAAAAGCCTAACCAGGATAACATAGCATCTTTTATGGCATTAAACAATGTACATATTTACATAAAATCTCATTTGAAGAAGCTACCCGTAATTTCAAATGCACTCACAATTACATGTCAAGTTTGATGAAAACTATAGTCAGTAGGGCACTAATAATAACTAAACTGTGCTCAAAATGCACCTAGATAACTTGATACATCTCTTCCTGTCATTCAGATCAATACATCAAATTTTGGAAAGATCCTGTTAACTCATGACTCTTTTAATTACCTGTTTATAGTAATCTATACATACTCATTATTTCTACTCTTAGGACTGGTAAGGCACATAATACAGCAACATAACCTCTCTTTTTCATCTCCTCTTAGGTTGCCTGTAAAATATAAATATCACACCTTTAACTTCTTAGATGGGTTAGTAGGAAAATCCCTTTACTGGCACTAGTTTCTTATTTTCAACATTTTTCTATGTATATTTCATTTCTGTAAATTACAGGAACTTGTATAAATGCTCCAGCATGTTCATAATACCTGTGTCTGTCATATCACTGCACATTTTCCCATTTTCCCATCAATTAATGCAGTTTCCTGTGTTTACAAAGACCATTTTTTTTTTTTTTTTATTGCAGACTTTATATTTCTGTATGGAATAAGCATTGGCAAGAAATACAAGAAAAATTTTGTGTATATATATAACTTAAAGTATCTTATCCTTCTTCACTGGTAAACTGTGGTTATGCAGACAATGTTACACTGCATAAAACATATTTCACCAAAAATTTGTAAATGATTTGAAAAATGTTCAGTGTTTCATTTCTGCTCTGTGGAATTCCAATGCTCGTGAATGGTTAAATACAAAAAAAGAGAAAAAATGTCACTATCTGTCCTTAATATATATTAATACCTAAAGTTTCCTTCCTCATCTGAAATGTCAGATGCACTTTCTTTGTTTAGTCTTTGTTTAGTCAGTACAAAATAAAAAAAAAGAAAAAGAAAAGTGAGAAAGGAAACAGAATAAATAATTGCTCTTTAATATGCCCAATAATGGACTGAACCTCAAACTCTTTAAAAGGGTGAAAAAACAATCATCACCCCATGGTCAGTGCTCTGGGAAGAACCCATTTGTTACCTTCACTGGTCCATTGATTATGTTAATGGGAGAGTCCACCTCCATCCCATTGGTGATAAAACTGTCATGAGCCTCTTCAACACTCTTGATCATAAGATCCGATGTCAAGATAATGTCTTTTCTATTATTGTTCACCATTTCCGAGGGGGGAGGGGACAGCGATGTGAACTTGCCCGCAGAGTCTAGATTGGCCTGATGCGAGAAAGAGAGCTTGGTGGTGGCGGCCAATGGTCTCGCTTTGTGGAGGTGCATGTCCAGTCCCGAGCCTGGACACGAGCCACAGGCACTCACGTCATCCTCCTCTGTTAGGGGTAGAATGAAAGCAATACAGTATGTAAATTGGAAGTTCTGAATTCTAAAGATAATACCTGTAACTGAATAGAAGTTTAAAAGTCATTTTGGGGTAGTTTCCTGGTAGGAAGTTTTCTGTGTATTATTCTTGATTGTCACCTTTTAATTTTTTGTTTCTTTGTGTGTAACTTTATTTTAGCATTATGAAAATACAAAGGAAACTAAAAACAAAAAAATATATATATACATATATAATCATATCTATATCTATCTAAATATATAATATATATATATATATATATATATATATATATATATATATATATATATATATATATATATATATATATATATATATATATATGAAGCTATAATAATCAATCAAATTGTAAGTTTTGAAAACTTTATGTATAAGCTTCCTCTTTTACAAACATAAGAAAACACTTAAAACAAAGGATACATACATATCTATAAATACATACAGATACATATAGACATGTATTATATATATGTATACACACATACATTTCATAACTATAGAAAAAATGCTACCTGGAAAATAACCCTCTGAGACAACATACTACACATATAATCACTTCATGACATACTAGTTATAGAATAAGAAAACGTTTATGCACTTCTGTGCCAGTACTGAATGAATATCAAATTCTGCACCTGGAAACAAGCCTCCAAAATGAAGTGTATTCTCAGATACACTGTCTTATGCACAAAGTCTTCAGGAAAAAATAAAACCAGTTATAAGCAGAATGATTCCTGCTCAAATCTTTTTGAAATTTATTTCTTTTTTGTCAAAATTTACATCTTATGGTTTCAATAGCTTGATGAAAGTCCATTATTGTATTTGTAATATATAATTAGAATCTCATCAACTTTTAAAATTAAACATTTAAAAAATACAAATGAATGAGTATGAATGAGAAAGACGAAAAACTTGCAGAATAAATCCATTATCATTATTTTTATTCATCTACTGTTTATATGCATTGTTACACTTTGTAACAGGTGTGAGCTAAAACAAATTAATTCTCTTTCTCATTATAGACAATCATTTCTGTATAAAAAAAAAAAAAAATAATAATGATAATAAATAAATAAATAATCAGAAGTTCTAAACTACCACAATACATCACTAGCCATGAGAAGAAGAAAAAGAAAAAGAAAATAAGGAAAAACAGTCATAACAACAAAGGAATAAGAAGCAGCTAAGTACAATGCACGAAAACTCACCTGCACGAAGCATATGCCTGAGAGCTAGCCTTCCACTGCAGATGCATTGATTATGCAACAATATGGGAGGGGGGAAGGGGAGGAAACAGAGAGGGTCTTGCATCACGCAACAAGACCTAATATATATATAACACAAAACTCAAACACAACTTTGCCACGGTCAAGCAAGCATCGTTTCAGTAAAGAATTACTGATCTATTTTTCAAATATTCTCAGGTAGGATAACTCACAAATGAAAACTAGGAATGAGAAAAAAAGAAAAAAAGAAAAAATGCGAGTGAGGGGAGGAAAGGGGACTTTTCGAACTTAGGAAAACGTGCTGAACGTGGCAAGTGAAGTTCTGTACCTTTCAAGGCAAAATAAATATAAAGTATGTACAAATGAACTCAAAATGTGACAAACTGGAACAGAAAAATATACATACACAAGGCTAGCACCAGGGATATGCAAGCTAATATATGCTAAAACATATTTGGAAAGCAGGCTACAAACAAAACAAAAATATCAATGATTAAAACAAATACAACTAAGGGATGATGGGAATAAAAAGCAAAATTATTACATGTGAATAAAAACTTCAAATGCAGTTGACTACTTCATCATGAGCCTAATCACCATGTAAATCCTTCAAGTTGAAAGGTAAAACTTAATAAACAAAATCTTGTCAAAAAGCATTCATACAGGCTTTCATATGCTACCATAAGCATTAAAGACAAACTATTTAAGTCTTTAATACCTGAATACTAAAAATATTGAACTAAACTTGTTTACAAAATAACAATTTCTACAGCTGTCAACTACAGTATAAGTGAACAAAAAATATATTGAAGAACAACTATAAAATTAGACATACAGAATTTTAGTTTGTGAGGAAAAGAATAAGAGGAGACCAAAAGAATCAGGAGAGAGAGAGAGAGAGAGAGAGAGAGAGAGAGAGAGAGAGAGAGAGAGAGAGAGAGAGAGAGAGAGAGAGAGAGAGAGAGAAATATACAAAATAACAGTGATACACAGAAAAAGTACCATATGTTTAAATTACAAAAATGGAAGATTTATCTCTATTCTGTATGCATTTATATGAAAGATTTATAATACTACAGAAATGTGGTTCCATTCCATTGGCCCTAAAATCAGACTTCAAGACTATTGTACATTTTTTTATACACTTTTTACATATACACACAAATGCTTTTATGTATATGAGTATGTCTGGCAAATATAGTATATATGTGCATATGTATGCTTATATACATGAATGAATGTGTGTGTGTGTGTGTGTGCGTGTGTGTGTGTGCGTGTGTGTGTGTGTGTGCGTGTGTGTGTGTGTGTGCGTGTGTGTCTGTGCATGTGCGTCTGTGCGTGTGTGTGTATCTCGCCAGGAGAAATGAATTAGAGTAATGCATAATTATTAACATACTACACTAAGCTGTTAACTAACATGATAAGAAAACCAGTAACACCTTATCTGAGTTTATTCTCTTCCCTCATGATATATACAAGACTATCAGAAATGAAGGATATAACCTGTGGTTTTCATGCTAAACATACTAATACTAAACTATGCCAACTGGTGTCGTTTTCAAATCTTTTAAAGTAAGCTTTTGTCTGAAAGGATCTGATTTAATGCCCTTTCTTAGATGTACATGATGAGCTCATTTCCTCTTTCTTTTTATTTACTTACAGAGAAACCTTTTTCCTTTGAAAAGGAAGTTCTAACACATGATATTTACAAAATCATACCATACCAGACATTCACTATTTACTAAAGATGTAATCTCATGTGTTCAAGAAAGTGTGGTATGGCTGATTGCGTGTTTGAAGGATATATTTATGTTCAGTGACTCCAGTGTGTGATATATACAAGACTATCAGAAATGAAGGATATAACCTGTGGTTTTCATGCTAAACATACTAATACTAAACTATGCCAACTGGTGTCGTTTTCAAATCTTTTAAAGTAAGCTTTTGTCTGAAAGGATCTGATTTAATGCCCTTTCTTAGATGTACATGATGAGCTCATTTCCTCTTTCTTTTTATTTACTTACAGAGAAACCTTTTTCCTTTGAAAAGGAAGTTCTAACACATGATATTTACAAAATCATACCATACCAGACATTCACTATTTACTAAAGATGTAATCTCATGTGTTCAAGAAAGTGTGGTATGGCTGATTGCGTGTTTGAAGGATATATTTATGTTCAGTGACTCCAGGTGTTAAATGTGGGTGCAAGTGAATTTTTTTTATGTATATGACAGACTCTCATGAACCCTACTTCAATCTATATGGCATACTAGGACACCTAACTTCAACACAGTCATTGCAACATTGCAGAAAAGAATAAGTAAAGTCCAAGACACATCAGTCATACACCCTTCTAAACATTCTACTGTAAATGAACTGAAAAATAAAATAGTGCATTCTAGATCAGTTTTAAAGTTGCACCTTTTGGACCCTTTTGATTTTTAGTCATAATCATATTTTATATATTTAAAAGCATTACAGTATGTAAAGTGAAACATTATCATATCCATATCTATATACAATTAATGTGATTTGGTCTTTATGTGTGTATGAATATATCTATATATCTATATGTGTGTGTGTGTATATATATATATATATATATATATATATATATATATATATATATATATATATATATATATATATATATATATATATATATACAAGGCCAGATTATGACCTTCTGGGGCCCCTAGGCTAATGAAATTATGGTGCCCCTCAGAATATTTTTTACTCGTGATATATTTTAGTGACATTTACATAGCTTGAAGTAAACTTATTGCAATTTCTTTAAATAAATTAGCATAGCTATCTTTTGTTTCTCAATAAAAAAAGCCCCACAAGCTTGGGGCCCCCCAAGCTTGAAGGGCCGGGGCTGCAGCCTATACTAGCCCCTAGGATAATCTGGCCCTGTATATATATATATATATATATATATATATATATATATATATATATATAAATATATATATATATATATATATATATATATATATATATATATATATAGAGAGAGAGAGAGAGAGAGAGAGAGAGAGAGAGAGAGAGAGAGAGAGTGTGTGTGTGTGTGTGTGTGTGTGTGTGTGTGTGTGTGTGTGTGTGTGTGTGTGTGTGTGTTTATAGAGTGAAACATTACTATTTCCATTTCTATGTACAATTAATGTGAAATGCCTTTCTCATGAAATATTCCTCACGTCTTCTAAGTTGTCCACTTGCTGAACTTTTCCTTGTTATTTGGCTCAAATAAGGACATATCTTACTTGTTTGCTTCAGGTTGTTTTTGTGTTCAAAGTCTTTGCCACTTGTACTACACAATGCTTCTACTCAGAGCAAGAAAATGATTTTGGAATCTCCGACTGCAGAATTCGTTCTCCAAGTACTGCATGATCTAAGTGGCATCGTTATTTCTCCAGTTAAATTCCAATGCACAGTAAATACATGTCAAACTAGATAAGAAGACGAAACGCAGGCCAGATTCTTGGACACAATGCTTATAACCTTATCTCAGACTCACTATGCTATGAGAGACCTTTGATGCTATTTTCTTCATTCAGTACTTTTTATACCAACTAATGGAAAAGAAAATTCCTGTCATAATATTTTCTGACTGTCTCATATGGAAAGACCTCATATGATAATATACATAAATATTTTTGGTTATCTATCATAAAAAAATATTACTAAATATTTGACTTAACTACAAAATCTTATCAGGTTAATCTTTTTCCCTATGACTGTTAC